GGGGCAGTTGATTCCCATACATTAGACGGGCTCGATGCTCGGTGGCCTGAGTTTGCAGATTTGTTCCCAAGCCAGAAACCCCCCTCCCCCCTCCCACACCCACCTCCTCCCCCCCTTCTGCTGAAGCAGATCAAGGGTGGAAAAGAAAAGTTGATATTAATCCCCAGCGGATTAAGAGCCTCATGAGTGATTAAACAAGACCCCCTGTCTCAAAGAGGACAAATTAGCGTACCGCCTCGGAGGTGGGAACCGCTCAGCGGACCAGACGTGTCTCCGTGGCCGTGAGCGGCCTTCGCCTCCGTCGCCTCCGTCAGAGGGAGAAGGGGAACTGATCTTCTACTGGAATGCGTTGAGTTTTTAAGACATAGAAATAAAATGAAAAGTTGACCAGGTCATGTTGGGTAATTTAGTTTAGCAGAAACGACGTTGTTTGGCTTCTGCCAAAATAATAGAAGTAAACCCACTTTGAGAGATATTTGATCACGATGCTGTGAGTTTGATTCAACGGGAGATTTCACTTAGAATCCAGTCAAGGTTTCTCTCTTATTCTCTGAAGGAATGAAACTATTTAAATGGCACAGCACAGACTTTCTCTGGACCTTCTCAGACGCGACGACACAAACATCCAAAATGGTCAGTTTGCTGCCAGAAGTCAACACGGACCAAAAGACCGTTGAAATGAAAAGAAGAAGAGAAAACTGTGAACGTGATCCAGACGGTTCTTACGAGCTGTGATCATGATCACGTGATCAGTGGGTTTGTCGATCATGTGATCACATCATGTAAAAGAAACGTCTTTTATTATTTTTTATTTTTCTCAGTTGTTTCATTAGCTCTGAATTGCACTGGTCATTTAGCGGCAACAGTCAAACGATATTTGTTCCACTCGGTTAGTCTGCGATTCATTGACGGATTATCAGGTTTAAATCTGTAAACTTGGGAATAATTCTTGACGAGGTCTCGAGGATTTTAATCAAACGACCTCCAGATAAACGGGCCCCCGACTCCCCATCCCGATGGTGATAAAATGAGCCCTTCACCCCCCCAGACGGAGAGCCGGCATGGACAACAAGGCGCTGGAACCAGAGTCCGTGAGCCCCCCCATGGAGCAGGTGGTGGTCGTGTGCAACGGGGGCGTCCCGCAGCAGCAGCAGCAGCAGCAGGAGGCGGCCATGTTGACCCACCTGAAGAAGGTGGAGAACCACATCACCGAGGCCCAGCGGTTCTCCCACCTCCCCAGGCGCTCCGCCGTGGACCTGGAGTTCAGCGACCTCTCCTACACCATCAGGGAGGGGCCGTGCTGGAGGAGGAGAGGTAACACACACACACACACACACACACACACGCACACACACTGTGTGAGTGAGGCCGTTTCCTCCTCAGATTCTGATCGGTGCACAACAGCTTTCCTCAGATGTTCCATAGAAATGCGATGTTTTGCAACATGCTCTCAAAAAGGAACACGAATGTTGAGAGTAGACTGAGTGAAGATATGAGGCGTAATTATGTGAAGCTCCGGGATCAAAGTGATGCCCAACACCTACATCCTTTCATATCAAAGCCTTACTCAGCAACATTTCACTCGTTCCAACTGGTTAAAATCAAAAATAAGTACAAAACCCCTCCTAAATGTGAAGTAAGAGGAATGGGAAGCGTGGGTGTCCAGGTGTGGCCCATACTCCTATGAGGGAACACTTTAGTGCT